TAGTAAGTAGGGTGATAATAGAAACTGGATGGAGCTTGTTCACGCAATGCCAGGGACAGAATTTTCTTTTTTTCTGCTCTGCTTTTCCCTGATTTTGGAGAGAGGTTTGAGGGTTTTTGGTTTTTTTTCTAAAACCACGTTAAGCTTATTTGGAAACTTTTTCTACAGTTTTTAACCAATATGTTCTGGCTTCAAAATGGCAGGAAACCGTGCCACACCTCATTGTTAGTAGGAAGGGGTTCTAAGAACTACTCTGGGCTCTCCCTGCCCATCTCATTTAGAGCAATCAGCCTCAGCAGGGAAGAGATATCAAATACTAATATGGGCCTTACAAAGGACAGGGGCTTACATCAAAGGGGGACTTAAATGGGAGGGAAAGTGAGATGCTGTTATTCTTTGGCTTCATTTCCTGACTTCACTGTTCATATCTAATCCTCTAACACGATTCTTAGCTCTTCTGTAACCACTGCTTTCTATTGGTTGATTAGTGCTCATGCCACAATGCAAGCACTGAGTTGTATAGCTCCAGCAGGTGGGATATAGAAGGTCTACTATTAATGTGCCCCAAGATCTGTTTCAATGGGTAAAAGAGATATTACAGAGATAGGATATCCAGATTTTTGGATCATCAGGGCAGAATTCACTGATGACTACATATCCATCATGTGCAATGAGAGAGAAAAATAAAATCATTCCTTTTTCCCATTAGCATATTATATATGGATCCTCTGGAAGTCACCATTGCAGAAGTTCAAGAGTCAAGTACTATGTCTGGATAATCTTATGACCATTAATAACATTTGTAGCCAGGCAAGCCTAGATTGGGGAAAAGGTTAATTGAATTTCATGCCTGAGGTCATAGGCCAAGTTCCAGCATGAGACAAGAAGGAATTTCTGTCCACTCTATGTAACTACATAATTGCCTGGGACCATTTTGCATATCTTCACAATGTAGGATTTTGATGGTAGACGATGGTAGGAAGCATCTTTTCTTTTTTTGAATGAAATTAGGCAAGGATTCTTACAAATGAGAGAATGTGAAAAAACACAATACCCCTTCACTGAAGTGCAATGTAAGATTAATCTTACATTACTGTTACCTAGCTGCGTATTTAGTTTACTTTCATTTAACTGTTGAAAAATAAAGATCATAAACAGCAAGCAAAGTCATAACTATATTAGAAAGCTGACAACTCACCTGAAAAACATTGTATTCTCAATTGTTCAAAACATCTGTCTCTCCCAATCTCCTTCTCATCTTTTTCTTGATTAGTAGGTTCATATAATCTCTCTCTTTTTAAAAAAATCTATTTTATCCTAAATAGAGGAAAAATACAGATGCCCCAGAAACCAAAAAGGAATGTAACATTATTGCCCAGCAAAACACAGCTGCACATTTCCACATGATTTTTTTACGTGCACAAATATATGCAACCCAATTAATAGATCAAGCTAATTCACATAAAAACTGTGTTTCCATGTGCAATACATTTGGGGACAAACAGCAACTAATGGCGCAAGTCTTTAGCAAGAACCTTTATGAAAAGGAGAGATTTAAAATCTGCATATCAAGGTGCATGCCTTTTCTGGAACAATACAACAACAACAACAACAACAACAACAACACAGGCACACATAAAATGTCCTATTTGAGGGACTGCCTGTTCCTGATTTCATCTGGTTGCCCTACCAGATCACACCGTACCCTACCCTACCCTACTAGGAAGGTATTTTATGGGTCTCATTGTCTAGGGAACTACCTTTAAGAGGTTGAGGGAGCAGCTCTTCTCTGCAGTGGTACCCGCGTTGTGAAATCTTTTCTCCCCCCCCCCAGATGATGTCGGCCTCATCTCTTCTCAGGTACCAGAGGTCCCTCAAGTATTGTTATGTCAGCAGCCCTGAGGACCCCAGGGGATGAGTGAGCTAGTGAGGTACCACCACTATTGTTAACATTGCTTCATGTACTTTTTATTTCAGTTCAGATTTTTTTATAAGTTTTAGATGTTTTACTTGTTAATAATTATAATAATGAACTTTAGTATTTATTGATTGTTTTTAACATTGTGAGCTATCCAGGATCATTTGCTTTGTGAGATGGGTGGCTATATAAATTAGATAAGTAAACTAATAAATAAATGCTTTTTTTTAATTTTGAGGCTACCTAACTTCTTTATGACTCTGGGTAGCAGTTTATATATTTAAAAAAAATGTGCATGTAAAAAGAAGATGGTTGACCAAAAGAACAAACATTGTGCTTGGTGCTCTCTGAGTTGGTTGCAGGTGTTCATTTCCAGAATAGGTAATATCATCAGTGCTAATGAGTGTGGTGGGTGAAAAACAACCCACCTTAATCAAGCACTCCAGAGAAACCACCCCATCTCTTGTAAAAGAAACTATGTAAGAACATTATTCAAAGAAATACAAACCCACTGCAACAACCAGAACCCTCGAAAAAGATAATAGACTACCTATACATGTTCCAACAAAATGGATAACCACTCAGCTTTATCAAAAAGGGCATCATCATAGTGCACAAACCAACTGAAGCACTCTAATAAAATAAACTAAATCAAAAGATTCACTAGGCCAGCAAGAAAAAAAAACCCGAAAAGAGTCATCTATAAAAAACAGTATAATGACGATAACAGCCACTATGTAGGACAGACAAGCAGTGTGCTGCAGTTGCCAAAAAAGCCAACACAGTGCTAGGCTGCATTAACACAGGGATAGAATCAAGATCACGTAAAGTTGTTAATACCACTTTACAATGCCTTGGTAAATTAGACATCAATAGACACATGAGTAAACCTCATGTATATACCATGCAAAAGACACAATAAAAATGTGGAAACCTTGGTGCTCTCTTACTTTAGTTGTTTGCATGCAGATGTTTCATTAGCTGACTAGGTAACATGATCATTGAGTTGGCTAATGAACGTTATGCACCAGACCACCAAAGACTTCATGGTTCAACTCTGAGCTACATATATTGTCTTCTACTGGAGACAATAAAAAGCTAAAAACGAAACAAAAGGACCAGAACTTTTCTTCTCCAGCAATCTATACCCAGATAAGCAGGAATTAATACCAGGCAAACAATCAAGCAAAAACAAAAAAACAAAACAAAACACCTTAATCCAAGAAGTACCAAGGAGAAAACCACACCCCCATTAACACTGGCAGAGCAAGCTACTATATAGAAACAGGGAGCAAATCTTACACTCACTAGCACTGATGATGTAACCTGGTCAGGCAATGAAATGTCTCCAAGCAAACAACCAATCTTAAAGAGTGCCAATGGCTCCAGAATTCAACCCTAACTTACATATATTCTTATCCATTAGAACAAACACTGGATCTTACAAGAGACAAAACTAAACTAATTGGAAGGGGCTACACAACCATCTTAACCAATATGCCTGTTGTCCTAATATGCATAAAGTGTTGGAGATACAGACAAGTCTTATTCATTTTGTTTAATAAACCTTATGGCTCGCAAACTGCAGGGGCTGTGGAGTTATTTAGCATATGGCATACAATATCAGGAAAATCTACATATGCTAGACACAATGCAGTCCTGACAGCTAGGTTGCTAGTTCGTTTTGTTTGGTGCTTGCTTGCCTATCCTTGGTACACTGTGGGGGATGAACCTGCTTTACACTGTGGGGTAATGGAGCTCATATGCTTGATCACACAATATGATTTGGTGACACAAGTATAATGACCGAGATAAAATTAAGCAGCTCTACATGTATCCAGTGTCCAAATGGGAACCCATCTGGAACCTATAAATGCTAACTAGCATTCTATGATGAAGAAAGATAAGCCCTAAATGTAAGTATAAATAGTTAATCATCTTGGCTTTGTTTTTCTCTTTCAACCAGTGACTTGAATTTTTATACAACTCATGTGAATTTGGCATTAATGCAATTGGATCTAAGAAATAACACACCAATAATTGACTAAATGCATGTAATGTTTATGTTTGCTCCTTTACCATCTAAATACAGTCTCAGCCTGGTATGCTGTTTTTGAATGGAGGTTTTACAATTATTTTGCATAATTTTAATTACCATTTTAGGATACTAATTGCTTCCAAATGGATTTCAGAAAGCAACTTTGACATATAAATCTTTCATCAAATAGACCTTCTTTAAATTTTACCATTTCTTGGAGCAACTTAACTATCATAAAACAGAAAAAAGGATTTGGTAATTGAGTCTTAGTTCCATATTCCATATGAAATTGGAAATAGTTGTTTCCTGTAATTCAAAGCCAACAATGTTGGGCATTAACAGGAATAATAAACAAAACTGGCCTAGTTTTATATCTCACAATTGCCATGAAAATAATCATTTCCAGCAAGATCTTTCCATTCACTATATCTGTTTCAAGGGGGAAAAAAAATCCGACCAAAATCTAATTAACAGGGTTTAAAACATGCTCTATATCCCCCAGCAATCTTTCTAGTGCAAGAAGATCCAAGACTGACAAACAAACTTTGTAGGCTTGTGCACAAGTTTAACTACCACTGTACCATATTAATTGCTCACCCATAAACATCAGAAAAGAATATGTACAAAATACTACTGTTTATTGAAACTTGAAGTTAGCCTGCTATTGCGCACAAAAGCTGATCTATCACGGTGGCATATTTCCAGTATTGTATGCTGCTTTACATGCCTTCTGAACACAAATGCTAGTGCACATGGAATATAAATGGACATGGACCAATGTTCTGGGTTCAGCAAGCTAATGCTCCTTCAGTTTCCCTGTGCCTTCCCCGTCTTTATACAGAAGGAAACTAATAATGAAAATCAATACTACAGCAGATTGTCTTTTTAAACACTAGCAGTGAGACAAAGAGGTGGAAACCTATTCAATTATATTCAAAGCTTAAGAGGAAATTGGAGTGGTGGTGGGGTGGTGGTGGTGGGAAAAGCACCTACAGCCATTTATAATTATTGATGTCACCGGCACATGCTAATTTAAAAACTTACCTATCCAAGCTCCCAACTCTGGCAACTAGATAGAGAAGGCTTCCAATAGCAAGGCTGCCTAGCACAAGGAGCTTCTGTCTCAGCAACGCCTGCTGTTTGAATAGCATGGCCCTCCATCAATCTTCAGGACTTCTTCAGTCTGCAGATATCAAAATATATAAACCATTCATGAGCAAGAGACAACATAGAGGGAAATGTTTATTAAACAGGCAGACAAAGAGTTTCTGTTTTCATGTAGTAAGAAGAATTTACTATATTCCGTGAATTATGAATCCTGTAATTAATGGACAGTGTGCCAGATTTTAGCACTTCCAAATTTAGACTTGCATAAAGTCCTTGGTAGGGTTTCTGTAAGGTCAGTAGACATATCAATTTCACCTCTTATGTTAAGATTTTTTTTTTGAGCAAACCATTCCTCCTGCATTTTTCTGACATCAACATATTAAGGGAGAGCAGACAAGGAACACAGAAATATGTAAATATTTTGCTTTATAGCTTTTGTTTCGGTGGGAACAAAATAGGGTGTTTTGATGATAAATTGCTTGTATGTGGGTCAGGTCAAATTATTACAGTGTAGGACTGATGGGATGAATTAAAATCCAGTATGGATAAGCAAAAACTCCTGCAACACACGGTTTTTACTAGTCGTTGTTTTATTCATATACCGTTTTCTGCAGCAAGAGTTATTTCTACTGCCAAAGTTTCATTTACCAGAGTTTGGTTTAACTTCCATTCTCCTTTGTTGCTCACCTACATACTAATTTATTAGTGGTCACTTCTAATCAATGTGCCTGTCACTATAACATCCGGTTTGGTCCTTAGCTAGCTGGCTATAACATGAGCCCTGGCAACTCAAAGAATAAGTTAATTTTAAAACAGGGATACAACATTGGATCAAACTGTGTTAAAAGGGTGGGAGAGACAATTTGGTAAGATTATGTGTTATGAGAGATAATATCAACATTACACAGAAATACATTTGTGTTTGGTGGGCCAAGAGGTAGCACAAACATGCCTTAATGACAGAATGCACAATTATTCTCCACTGTGCAACATGTCTTTATATGCCTGATTGTCTGCATAAACTAGAGATAATGACTTCAGGAGATCCTGAAGATGGCAGATGGTCATTTCAGGTAATTGGCTCATTCACATTTTTAAAGTCCTGCTTCTAATGAACAATATGAATGAGTTCTGAATAGAATGGTTGATTTAATTCTATTATGACATTTTTAAACTGCAGAGCTACAATTCCAACTATTATTTTGATTTAAAATGTAGTTTTCTTTTGTTTTCATAATCAGTTCTGACTCAGGAAAGGGTTCCATTGTAATAAAACAAAGGCTATCTTCAGAGATTCACAGATTAAAACATTACCTTGATTTCCCCCCCCCCCAAATTAAGTGGAGATTAAAATGCAAGTAGAAAAAATATGCTTTAATCAAAGCTCAGATCTATTTTCAAGTGCTATAGGTCTGAGGTATAGCCATAAAATAACTTTCCATTTTTGTTTCATTTACTATGCATATTTCTTTAATCCAGTAAGTAGCCTTTTTTTCTTAGATGGCAGAGTTTGAGCAGTGTTGAAAGAAAAATCTTCATCGGGGTCCAGTCCAAGCCGGGAATAAACAAAATGGAGACTGCTTTAGAAAGAAGGATGTAGTTTATTGAAGAGCAGAGCCAGACAGAAATGTGGTTCTGGGAAATCTGACTACATGTGGGTTTTTATACCTTCTTAGGCTTTTGTGTTTGGAGTTCCTGTTCCTGTGGCATGAACTTTGACCTTTGAGGTTCAATGTGTGCTTTTCGTATTCTGATGGTGGTTTAATCCTATTATGTCCTAAGGGTTATGTCTTTAGAGTTTGGGTGGGGTATGTAGATTTTAGGGGTCTTTGCCTTTCTAATTTCATCAGCTTCTAACTTACTGGCTCCAGCCTTTCTGAATAGGATGATCAATCTGCATTTCTATAGACCTGGCCTCTGCCTAGTTTCTGCTTGGTGCTATTAAGAAAAACTGGGCCTGCTTTTCTGCCTTTAAGATCCTTTTGGGGAAATATAACATTCTACCTTTTAATATTTCCAAAATATTTCTTTCTCTGGGGGGGGGGGTACTGTCCTCCTACAGCAGTGGTTCTCAACCTGTGGGTCGGGACCCCATTTGAGGTCGAACGACCATTTCATGGGGGTCGCCAAACAAGGCTGTCCGCCATTTTTCCCCCTTTTCTTTGGCCACATCCCTGGCACCCAGTGATGTATAAGTGGTTGGGGGTCACCACAACATGGGGAACTGTATTATGGGGTCGCGGCATTAGAAAGGTTGAGAACCACTGTCCTACAGTGTCATATCCGATACAGAAACCATTAAAAAAAAGAAATACAGCAATGTGAAAAGTTATGTATTAATTATGTTTATTAATAAAGGGACAGGATATTAAAATGACAAAAAGAGAAAAAAATTCTTTTGGAGGTGACAAAGTACATTGGATGATAAGAAGGAGAAGAAGAGAATCACAGTCAGATTTGCTAGATTCTATTGTTAGAACTTATCTCAGTAGATCTCCTTGGAGTCTGTTTCCTGTTCTGGTCTACCTCAAAGGAATGATAGCAGTCTTGTAAGAACCATAGTGCTTCTTCTCCTTTCCCTCTTATAACCCAGTGAATCAGGAAGGAGTTAGTATGAACCTCTTAATATTCTCTTCCTTCCCAGGACTTAAGGAATGCTACTCTCCACTTTGTTTACATAATGGTTTCCGGATGTTTGCTTCAAAGCCATCCCCTTGACTCTCTAAAGAAAACAAAAGAGTATAATTGGTCCATCAATGGTAATAAAACAGATCAAGTCTTTTAATTGTCTAGGGATAATGTTAGAACCTATTACTTCACAAAACTGAGTAGTGGAAACTTGGAACCAATTTCCAGTGAAGATAATGGGTCAGTCATCAGGAACTGAGTTTAAACCTGCTTGGAATAAACACATGACTATCATCTGACTAAATAAATAAAGAATAATAATAAAATAAAAAATATAAAAACGATTAATAAATACATAAGTTAAAAAGGAAACAAAAAACAAACAAACAACCCGAAGGGCAGATTTGATAGACCCCTGGGTCTTTTTCTGCCCTCAGTTTTCGATGTTTCTATAATGTTTTGTGAATCTGGGAGATAGGAATTCCACTTAAATTATCGATTCCAAGTAACTGTATTTCAGGTGCTGCTCACGTTTACAACTGGTCGCGGTATTCTGTGGTAACATGACCTATGATTTGCGACATTCTTTTGCCATTTTCTGGCAGAAAATGGCAAATAATACCCATTGCATATGCGGGATTCACTTAACAAATATATGGTTTACTTAATGACCATGTGATTTGATTTATAAACATAGGGAACATCATACAAATAGTTGTAAAATTGAGTCTGGTCACATGTCTCAATTTATGACCGAATCCTGGACTCCATTGTAATCAAAAGTCAGGGACTATCTGTAAGAATAGGTAATTTTCACTCATCATGCAAAACAAATCTCAGGGATAAGCTGACCCTACTGGCTTTTCGTAGGAAGCCCTGAAAACTACAATGAAGCTAGCAAGATCGTAAAAGAGCCTGCTGGCCTTTAGAAAGGCTGTCAAAAACTGGTTCTTTCTCTGGATTTTTGTGTTGTACCCCTGATTGGATTATGGTGTCCTTTTATTTAGGATCACCTTTTATTATTATTTATCAGTGTATGTAGTGTGATTTTGTATTCTTGCCGTTATGTTTTGCTGAATTTTCTGAAAGCCATCCAGAGTTCTTTCGGTTGAATTGGCAACCATATAAATGTTATAAATAAATAAATACTGGAACTTTTACAGGAGCGTATAAGCTTAACTTAATTCTGCCTTTCTGAAAGGATTTATCAAGTAGAGAAAATAACTATACATCTCACTTTTCCTCTCAGATTGCTGGACTAATATTATTCAGTCAATAACTAAATTTTGCCCTGCAGCTATGAAAGTTTGATCTCAGCTCATATCTGATATATAGTTTTGCCTAGCAAATCCATTGCAACCCACTCCAATTCTGTTTCCTCTGTAATATCAAAAATAAATGCATTTTTTATTATGCAAGTATATCTAAATGTGTCCTCAGTTGTCAACATTTTTCTTTACTCTGTTTATGACAACAACAATTTTATTTGGTCTCAGCCAGATGATGTGTTTTAAATATTTCCATAGTTCTTGCATCTACTATTTGATTATCTTTTCTATTTTTCTTAGTTTATGACCGAGTGTCTTATATATTAATGATTAGCTATTGTACGAAATATCTTTCCACAACCTTCTTTAAAGTACTGTTGACTGAAAATGCAGTGAGACCACAACACAGTATCTTAATGTTTCATAAACACACATTTCTACCCATAATTCTTTACTGTATATTTCTTCTCAAGAAGCATTAATTTAAGAATCTCCTTTTTGTAGGGCACTTGAACATGAACTATTCTGCGCCAGCAAAAGCCGAGACCTTTTTGCTCTGGCAACATTGACTGAGTTCAGCTACTAAGCTCATTTGTTTCTAGCCAGTCAGCTGCAAAAATGAACTCATTTTTTTTTTGTAAGGTTAACCTCAGCAGAGATTGCGGGCAACCCGTTTCCCTATTAGAGAGAACTCTGGCTCACCCTTGCTCCTAAGAATCAGCTGGCTCAGCACAGCCATAGAGTAGCAGGAATGAAATAGGTAAGAAGGCTTTTTGTTTGCAAGAGGATGTGTGGCTTTTCATTTCCTTTTCACACGCTCCCTTTCTGCAAAGTGTGGAGGGATAATTTTTATTATTTCAGCAAAGTCGGTGTGCCCCGGCAGCTGAAAAAGTATGCATTTCCTTAGAACTGAGCTCCTATTCATTCCCACTTCAGCCAGTTATAACATTGCCTGATTACAAAATTGATGATGTTGTGACATCTCTCATTTTTAATACACAAGGAACCATGGCTTAGAGCCGGGCATCTTCCTCCCTTTGAAATTGCAGCAGTTTTGCAAATTGCCAAATAAATACAGCACAGACTGAAAATAAGAGATGAGAGGACAAGGATATGGATTGCATTTTATTTAATTTACTTTTTGATTTGAAGGAGAGATGAGGGGATTTTGCTGTTGTTCTGGGAGTACATTTGCTTGGGAAAGCACCGAATGGCTCACTTATTTGCAGGCCCTACTTCTTAATGGGAGGGAGACAAATAGCTGGTGCATTGTGTGATCAACAGTCTGTGATTGGCAAGTCTGCTTCACATGGGTTTGGAAGGACTGGGATTGGAAATAGCATGTATTCTTAGTGTGCCAGTCCTCAAAGCAAACTCCACTAGTGGCATGACCAATTTTTTTTCCAAAATATTCCCCGATGCATTTATTAGAAGTAAGTTTGAGGCCCAGTTGAAATTTATTGTGGAAAAATTGTTTTTCCCTTGTACCGGATTTATAATGCAGAAGAATTCTATCATAGGAACAATGTTGTCACTCTAGTGCTAATATCATGAGGCATATAAACATCCCATTAGGCGAGGTCCTGTTGGCCTGTCAGGCCCAAACCCAGAGATGACACAGTGAGGTCCAATGGAGTCCAATTCTTTATCTGCTTTATATCTAATGAACAGAATCTTGCCAAACTAAAGCTATAATTTTCTTACTTACAAAATAGAACATGTGAGATTCAAGTGTGGCTATCCTAAACGTCTTCCCCTTTCCTGCCATCCAGCTTGGGATTATGTTGTTTTCTTAATTTGGGATTTTTTCAAATTGCAGCCATGGGCAGCTTACAACTGGGCTAAAATAAAGAAAAAAATTCCACAACAAAATAAAGCAATATTAAGAATGTAACGTGTTAAAAGTAACAAAATCATTCTTCTAAATCACGGGTGTCAAACTCGCCACATCACGTGACGTATCGCGATGTATTATACTCTTTTTGCATTGCTGGCAATGAGGTGGGCACGGCTTTGGTATGATGACACTGGCCTACGGGCCAGCAGTTTGACACCCCTGTTCTAAATAATCACCAAACAGACTCCGCTAACATCGTGGCCCCATGTTCAAGGGAAAAGCCAGGTTTTCCCTAGTTTTGATTCAACATTGTAGGAGCCCAACTATGGGATTTCTTGACTTAATTAGAGTAATTTAATTCTTGGCTTAATTAAAGCTTAACTCATGGCTTAATTGGAGCTTAATTTAATCCATTCACTGAATGAATTAAAATCGTCCCTTCACAGAATGAATGGACTAAAACACAGAGAATTTTGCTTCACAACGTGGAGGAGTTATTGCCTGAAATATTCTCTCATTAAAAACAAAATAGCAGTGTTCTGTAGTCTTTAAGAGGCTGGGCAGATGATGATTTTCCAGGGACCCTACCCTTCTGGGTGGAGTGTGGATTTTTTTAAATGGCCTATGGTTGTTTCTATAGTGTTTAGAAATAAAGTTTGTTTCTGTGTAGGAAGGTCATTTGTAGAATCTGAGGAACTATTGTATATCCTAAGGCCAGGTAGAATAGAAGGCCCATCTCTGACTGGCATGTCCTGTACTATAGTTTATTGAAACCTAACTCTTCCTTGGAGTATTGCTGAGCCCTGGAGCCACTGGTTACAAAAGTAACTGCTTTCTCTGTACACCTGTTTGAAGAAAAACATTTACTGTAAATAACTGGAATTTCATCTCTTCCCCCCAAACCCAAGAGAAGATTCATGGGCTTTGAATATTCATGTAGCCTAAGTGAATTACAAGAATCTCTCTACCGTATTTCATTTGGGTGTCCTTATCAACTATTTTAGAGGAAAACATGATAGATTCAAGGGTATATAAAAAATAAGAGTTATGTCCAAGAGAAAATCATTTCTCTGTCTCACATAATTCACAAACTATTATATTAATTAATACAATTGTGTCTTATAGTATTGTAAATACCTTACTATGGCGATTAGATTTGGGCCGCAAGGAAGTTAGATGAACCCAGAAAGCGGCAAAAATATTCAGAAATTCTAACCTGTTTGCACCGTAGTGGTCATCGAGATCTTTGCTATCAGGTTTGTTAGCCTTATACCCACAAGAAAGATAGTGTAATTTTTTCTTAAAGCTTTTGTATTTGAAGGCCAGTAGTCAGGTTATTCAAAGTAAGTATGGCTGCTTGAAGGCTATGTAATACTATATGCACATAATAATGCACACAATTATATTTTAGTTGTGTTTAATATCATCTGTATGTGACTCTTATCCATTTTTAAAATTATTATATGACTTCATCTCCTTTAGCAGTAGGTGGCTCTGGTAAATGAAAGAGCATTTGTAACATAGAAGATGAAAGAGATGTCAATATTTATATTCATATTGGGTAAGATGTTGTAATCTTAGTCTAATTTGAGTGCAAATATTGTCACAACTTGTGTCTGACCTTCCTGCCTAGACATTAACATGTCTCACTGAATCAGGCAATTAGATAGCTTCAGATTAATTAAAATTTGAGAGCTATTTCAATTCCATTTTTCTCCTATAGGAAAATAGCATTAAAGAAAACAAAACATACCCCTACTGCGTTCAGTAAGATTTGAAAACTATAATGTATGTTAAAATCACTGAAGAGGAAGGTAAAAATAAAATCATTCATGCTAAAAATGTGTTTTAATATTATATTATAGTTGTAACAATAACAGTGGAGATTTCTTGCTACTGTTTTGCCAGTATACATATACCACATAATACAAAGGAGGAAAAATAGAATTACAAATATACAACAGATTGAAACGGTTATTTGTTACGTGTTTGTGCTGTAGATAAATAGACTGTGAATAAGAGTATTCAAAATATAAGTGAATGTTTAGGAGTGGCATATTACTAACTGAAGTCCGACCAAGTAAATGTACTGCAGATATTGCAAACTGAAACTTGCTGTAATACTTTAAATTTAACTTCCAGTCAAAATACAAGTTCATATAATCTTATTACGCATATGATTTTTTTTAAAAAAATATTCACTTCCTATTCCTTACAAAAGGCTACTCAATTTCAGTATATTAACTACTAAAATACATTTTAATGCAGAAGAATTAGTTAATCAGTACTATGATAACAAAAACTTCCAAGGAAAAAATAGTATTCTCTTCTGCCCATTTCTTGATTTTTAAAGAGATAAAAATCCCTGTAGAAAAAAAGTAATTTACGGTAAATAGAAAAAAATAATCTCATTTCATGTTATCAACTGATTTCTTCTTCCTCCTCCTCCTCCTCGTGAATTTCCTGCAAATGCTGGTCCAGTTTTTTTGATCAACTGACTGTTAATCCATTGATTATGACAGGAATAGACTGACCAGTTTGTCACTCTCTTTCATATTTTCTTTTTTTTTAATTAATAAAAAGAGTGCAAGTTTATACATTATACATATATAGAGCTGATGATTGATATATATTCATCCTGTGAATTCCAAATATTTAAATGGGGTCTTCATCTCTGTTTCTCATTCAGCTTTTGATGTTATTCATACATTATTAAGAAGAGCACCCCATTCTTAGATTAACTTGTACTCTCCTATGGTACCATATTGGAAGAATTATGTTCATTTTGCATTTTAATTACAAATTTGGCAGAGACACAGTTAATCCTGCCTCTTTTAACTCTCATTTAAGGATGTTCATGATTGAGATATGAATAGAACAGTATTGTGATCCAGAATTGTAATGATTTTTTTAAAATCTACCAATTTCAGTGGAATATGCAAAAAGAGGTTTATATAAGAAAGAAGTCTTTTTTCCTTTAAAGGTAGAATAAAAGGCTCTCTTTTCTCATGCACAGTTTAAAGTTATCATTATAACCCATTTGATTCATATCTTGTGCTACCATTTTCTGAGTACCTGCTAACAGAAGACATTTTCCTTCAACATCTCCATTTTGAATATTCTGGCCCCAGCAAAATGCAAATGGATCTATTTCAATGGATTTACTTAACAAATGCAAATATTTATGTAGACATTTCTTTTTGAAAAAACATAAAATACAAGATGTATTTTATATAAATGTATATAAATTTATATAAATTTATATAAATTACGTTAAAAGTTCAAACTGGTTAGTATTTCTTTTAAACACTTCTTCCATGTTTGACATCTAAACAGGTACATCAAACAAATGCGCAATGACATTTTCTCTGGAAAAAAAATAAAATTAATAAAACATATTGTAATTGGTCTATAGGCCTGACTTTTGGTATACCTTGTAAATTTAGAAATTCTGCTTCTTTTTTTATTGACTTCCTCTTTTGCCATTCCTATATGCTTTTTTTTTCTTCTCCTACTCTGTGCCCCGCTGTGTAACTAACACGGAAGCAAGTACTAGCTACAAAAAAGACTCTGAAGATTATTTTTCCCACCTGCAAATAATAGCATTTGTATCCAGGGAGTTTCATTGTGATTCATTGTTCACAACTGTTCTAATTTAGCTTACAGTAGCTTTCTTTTGGAGAAGAGAATACATTAATTGCTTCTTTTACCTCCTGAAAGTCCTAAAATAGAGTTCATCTCTAAAGGCTTGAAAGATGGTTTAGAATGTGAAGGATTGATCTTGGCTTAAATAACTCAAAAGTAAATCTTGGCACTGAACCGAGCATGACAACTGTCTAACACCAGGCCAAGTATTGTAAGCTGTTACTGATTTCAGGCAGATATTTTCTTTTGCTTCAACATTCATATCAAGACCTTTTAATGTGGTTAAGAGTTTCCTAAGTTTTGTAACAATCAAAGGGCTGAACTAATGTATTTCTGGCCAGCTTGATAGCTTCTAATTGTGATAGAGCCTTCTAATATTTTGCAAACAACTCTTATCTTTTTTGGCCATGTTTCTATGTTTTATGGAAAGGGGTGCCATTCACTATCAGTTGCTCAGTCTAATAGTTTATGCAGGTGGTAGACAAGTGGTGGGCTGGGATATTATGCTGAGGTTCTTTTAGTGTTTTTCTCACGTGCAGCCTCCTATGTTTCCATACACTGAAGTAATAACATTCTAAAATTTTAATTTTGCAATTTTAAAAAACCTTAGAGACTTACAGGGAGCATCTGCCTTTTATGAATTTCCAATATACATCACACAATTTCCTCACTAGAAGAAAATCTACAATTATGCTCTTCTACAAAAATCCTTGCCTTACTCCTTGCTAAATGTTGAACCATTCCATTTATTCTCATGCCTTTTTTATATACCATCATTCAATTCTCTTATCATACTCAGCACCACCTTTAACTTGATAACCAGGCAATACATTCCATAATTCAATTCTATCGTATCATACTCATTCTCTAAATTAATAAATCTCCAGTATATTTTATTTCACACAATCATCCTTCTCCATGATCGATAAATGAACAAAAATATGATCTGCACCCCCCCCCTTTTGGCATAAAGCTGTACTGAACACAACAGATTTACCCATTATCCGCTCTTGACAGGACACCTTCCCCCCCCAGACCCACTAAACAAACTAAGCACCCTAGTAGTTTTGTAAAAGTGAATAATAAAGAATGCTTTCAATTGTCAGTGTGCAGCCTTATACATGTTACTCAAATTGCACAGCTACTCTGTAAAAGATTCTGCCCCCAACATATCTTATTTTTTTTTTTAGTGGCAGCCCTACCATTTTTCAACATTCTCAAGGCATTTAGGTATGATTTCTTTTCATCATTTTTTTCTTGGACACTGAGAATTTATTAGATATGACTAACATTTCTATTAAAACCTTTAAAATACCCTTTCCATCATTCCTTCACTAAAATTGCATTCCACATCTCTTC